AACCCAAAGCGCGTTCGTGGCCACAGAGGCCGCGGAGTGCAGGCAATGGCTGAGAACCACAACTGGACACAAGAAAATGCACTTCCGGCCAAACCAATAAAAAAACAACAACCCCAGGGACCCCTCCGGAAAAAGCTGTCCCAACCTCGTCAGAAAAGAAGAGAGACAGCTGCAAACGATCAAACCGATCACCAGAACCCAAAAGAGCAGAAACCTCTGAGAAACTGTCCTGAACCAAAGGGGCCACAGCAAACCAAGGGGAAGAGAGTTAAGAGAGCACCATGTCCAAAGACCAGTATGGCTCAGGTGGCGCATGAGCAGGCCGGAGGTGAAACAAGCCTGAGACAGCTCGTGAAACGGTGCAAAAGGAACATCAAAACCGAAAGCAGGCCATAGCGGCTCTGCCAGCTCCACACAATACCAAGCGACAGTATGCAGCATAAGATGCCGATCCTGAACAGCCACAATAGAAAGGACAAGACCACCTCAACAAAAAGTGCAATATACCTACGAAGAGACAAAAAAAGAAAGGAAGACAGGACCACCAGTAAACCACATACCGCCGCCGAGACGAAACATGCAGGTGGGACATCATCAATGAAGCCACCTGATCACCAAACAGATGATGATAGACTCGAGTCAAAATTACCAGATGCAAAGACTCGAGGAGAAGACCGAACTGAGCATCAGGAGGACCAGCAACCAGGTGGTTGCTGGTCCTCCTGGTTGCTGCGACCAGCAACCAGGAGGTCTGGTCGATGACCAGGCCGCGGAGACGCTTAGCCCCGGAAGTACCTCAAGGTAACCTCAAGGTAGCATCTGAAACAGGCGGAGCCGTGGAAAAACGCCTGGGTGCAGACACCGAGCAAGCAGCATCTGAAACCAAGGGTGTCAGAGAACCAGATGGAACTTCAGCAAGGTCACCAGGAACCTGAACCCAGTGAGCTGGACATGCCCTGTCCAGGAGGAATCCCCACCCTGGACCCCCGAATGACCAACAAGTCCGACAACGGATGACAACTAGAAGAAGTCGCTTGTAGAAACTGCCCAACCGCAGACTCTGCAAACAGCAAGGACAAAATGGCGATGAAAACCTAAAAGCAAGGGCCCAGGCAGATGCCAATGAAGAATTGAGTACCACCTCAGCAGTGCAGACGATGCACTCGTGACCAGTTTATGTATGAGAACCACTTAGGACTTGTACTGTACTAAATAAAAATTACTGTATGGAAAAATAATACAAATAAAATTTTTTAGCTAGGGTTGTAAAACCTAGCTCCTCTTGTCCTAATGACAATGCACTGTAGGGGGCAGAGTGGTTGATTGGAGATCTACATCCACCGGCAGACATTTCTACACCAGCTTGCTTGAACACTGGTTCTGTTCATGATCAGGGCTCTGAACATGTACATAGTCTAGCCTAGCACTTAATATTACAGCCAATATACACATACTAATAAACAACAATTTGTAGGCGATGAGTCACAATAACGTGGCTGAAGTATGTTGACCAGACCACACACTAGAAGTTGAAGGGACGACGACGTTTCGGTCCGTCCTGGACCATTCTCGAGTCGATTGTAATCAAGTCAAGTCGATGTCCTCTATAATTTGTATTATAGAGGTATGAAATATGGAAATATGCAATGAGAGGACTTTAAAGTTTTGGTCCAAGTACTGTTATCTAGGTACAAGAGAGTATGTATATACAATATGATGAACTAACATGACTTGGTTAGCAGTTGGTAATGTAATGTATATTATCAATTATATATTCAGAAAGATTCCAATATATATATAAAAGGGTTCAGTTAGGCACTGAATGACGTTCAATGAATGAATGTCCAGATATCAAGAAAAGATTCAGTTGCTGAAAGATTAAATCAAAATTTACTGAAATTCGGGGCTTTGCCCCACAGTGTAATGATTAACTATATATATGTATGTATGTATGTATGTATGTATGTATGTATGTATGTATGTATGTATGTATGTATGTAAATATTAAGGTTACATTAAGATGCATGCAAATTGGCCAATCAACGTACCACAAACAATACCCAACACTCATCCAAAAATCGAGAACCGGTGCTTGGCTGACGGTGTTGCCAGACTGCATAGTCTCTCTTGTAGAGCTGTGGCACTATAGTGTTATGTCACAGTTTTGCCGTGTAATATTCTGGGAGAATTGCTAGTGGATTATGTCCTGAGTTGCGTGTGCAGTGGAAGGAGGTATCGCTAGGTGTGGTGTAGAGGAGGCGGCAGCGTCACTTCGAGCTACTTTACACTCTCAATGAGATAAAAAGTACTAGGAATTTTTCCTATAAATATAGTCCAGAACTCACCCAATATCTAGGGAGCTATGACTGGTGATAATAGATTAGTTAGGGCAGCAGCTATCCCCTGATAAAGGTCGTGGAACACCAACACGCGTGTACACTGTTCATAAACAAAATGATTTTCCTCGGGCCATGCTCAGGACGCTTGAGGTCCAAGCTGGCGCCTCCCTTCTTTCGAGGAGGGTAGTCCACAATGTTAGTTATTACGTTTATTGTCGAGACAGAGTATTGAGTACAGTATCTGAATCTGAGTATTGAGTATCTGAAGTGATGCTGATACGATCCTGACGTGATTTTGACATGATGTAGAAAGAATACATGTCCTAGATAAGAATGTTGATAAAGTGGGTAAAATTTCCCACAGGAAGGATGGAACTGACAGACCCGAAGGGACACGGAACTGAACCTGGGGAAGACTGACACCAACCAACTCGTATGTAAGGGGTGAGGGGGGGGGGGGAGAACAGTAAGCCCCACTCGGAGGGTAGGAAAACCCAGGAGGGGTCCAATGGGGCCCAAGGTCCCCCACGTCAGCCTTTCCTCAACCCCAGGAACTTCCACACCAGGACCCCGGGGCCAAATCATCCTCCAAAGCCCAGGCCTCAAAAGAAAAAGCTGGGGCAGCTGTGAAAACACTAAGGAAGGGGGCCCACTGGTCAGAGACGCAATGGCTGAAGGAACCGACTCGAATGCCTCTGTCGCCACCCTGGAAGGGGCATCCACCGAGACCGCACGAGTCTCAAAACCAGCTAAACCCCGCCCCGACCCCAAAGCCCTTAGACGCCTCAAAGCCGGAAGCAGGAGGGGGGACCAAAATGCACTACAGCAGGGTTAAGAACAAGGGGGTGTGGACCGAACCAAAGTCGAAGAGACCCACACCCCCAAGTCCAGGGTTCCTATAAGCAAAACAGGGCAGCCTTGGGGCTTCCCGGTTAGCAAACAACCTAGTGCATTGCAGCAATCTAAACCTAGCATGCAACGCCAGTGCTGCCTGCACGCAGATAGTCATCAGTGGACTGGGTGTATGGAGTCACTAACAAGCAACAAAACTCGCAGGACTTCAAATCGACGGTGTCACTGACCCAACAGTCAGCTAGATGGAGGCAAAAACTGAGATTCACGCTGAGACAAGTGGACAGAGCAACCCTCAAACTCGCATCCGACGAGAGGGGACCCAGGGGTCGCATCCATTGGATCCGAGCGCCCCCACGGGGTTTCCCAGGGCTCTTAGATTTGTACCTCTAAGGAAACCCAGACAGGATACTGCTAACCGGCACCCAAGTCTACCAACAAATTTTTTTGAAGCTGAACCCCCGGGACGTGTCCACTCACTGGCAGGGGGTACCACCCAGAACACAGAGATAAAAACCTAGTGTATAGATAGGAGGCAATGAACCAAAGGCAAACCCCTCCACCAGGCAGAAAACCAAAAATAAAAGAAAAACCCTGCAAGAGGACAATGTACCCAGGTGGAACAGAGCCGGCCCCCATTATAGGTGATAACTAGCTGTGCAGTACCCTGTGCCCTTAGCAGTGCAAACTACCCCTTACCCTAAGGTAAACAAAGGTGAAGGAAAGCCCCCGCACACTCAGGGCAGTCATTTACCAAGTAGCAAAAAATGAACAGAGGTAGACCCCAAGGTGACTTGTGGAAATTGGCCCCAAGCCCAAAGGGCAGTACTTACATACTGCATATGCCTAGGGTCACCTAGGGAAGGTGACTCTAGGCATATGCAGCTCGAGTACTTGGGAAATTACTCCTGGCTTGTGCACCACCAGAGAAGACTCGCCCTGCATCACAAGGCACAGAGCAGAGGACAGAATCAGGAGCCAGAGCCACAGCGACCAATACCATTCACATCAGCCAAACAAATGAAGGTGTGGGTTGCTGGCACAAGGGGTCTGTGGCTACCCCTTCCTCCTCCCAGGGAGGTGGGGAGCTGCACAGATGGCTGCGCAGCAAGTGGTGATGTCATGCTCGTTTGCTTGTTTTTCTTTGGGGAGTTCTGTCCACTCGTTTGACTTTCAGTAGTAATTTCAACCAGAATAGGGGGTCTGTTTTTGGATGTTTACCTTTCTGGGTGCCTGACCCAGTCGATGGCAGACATAGAATGCTCTAAATCACATGTGCTATTCTATAGGCCATTGCTCTTCGTGCCTCTCTGAGGGGGCCAGGTTCTGGCTCGTGATCCCCGGTAGGCCTATGAACTCCATTCACACTGACTGATGCCAAAGTCTAATATATTACATATCAGCCTGGATAGCTCTGGGGAGCCAAAGGGGCTTCCCCCCCCACCCCCAGGGGCTTCCACCCCAGGTGGTTACAACCACCCGTGGTGCCCATAGGTGGTTGTAACATGCTTAGTCCTTATAGGCATCCATGTTATCGTTGCCTCAGTCTATGCAGCCAACATTTTTTATATGAAATGTGTGTGTTCTCTTGTGATATCCTCTGTTTCTTCTATTTTTAGTTTTTTAAAACATGCACGACAGTTATTTTCATTATTATGGCAAGATCAGGCGGGTCATCACTTAAGAGTGAGTATATTCAATGTCTCATCTTTTTACCTAAACCATTATATTTATTAGCATTCACGTGAAAGTTGAGTATCTCGCACATTTAGTATATTTGGAATTCTAATTGCATCTTTATCCTTGCAGATGGTAGAGTCAGTTCAGCAAAATTCTCCGGCCCATGCAGCAGGCCTTAGGAAGAATGACATACTTTTAGCCGTTAATGGGACATATCTGAACTCTGGCCAGCAAGCAGCAAAGTTATTCTCAACCAGCAACATAAATGGAGACAGTAATAGCCTCACCCTGAGAGTAAAGCGACTAGTTCAGCCTGAGCCCAGGAAGGTCAGTTAAGGATTCTCCTATTACTAGTGTATTTTAGCTTTTTCTAAAATTGTACCTTTTATCTTTAATTTTGGATTGATAATAAAATATGTAATCAGTATTTTACATGCGGCACATTATTTTTATTTATATGAATTCTTACGTTAAAACCTAGAATATTACAAAAAATGTATTCTGTATTGCAATCAGTGTTTTATAAAATAATATTAGCCACTTAATATTATCCTTGTCTCTTTTTGGCATGGCACAAATGTATAATACTGTATTTGAATCTAGAATTTGCCTTTGCATTTTTTCTATGAAAATTAGTTAACCCCTCAGTATGAAGGACAGAAACAATAGCATAGGTTTTACAGGTTCCTTGATAGGTAACTCAAAGACAAGGATTCCAGATGTCACGAGTCAATATAGTTTGTTTTCCTGCTTTTAAGGTTAAAAAGAGCTCTTCTCTCACCATGGTTACCTTGCAAGAAATGTTAAGCACAGTTGCAAAGCCACTATCATACTCATCACCATCATAATCTTCATTAGTTCCTTTATATTCATCATGCAGTGTATCAAGAATGAAGTCTTTCTCCACTGCAGTAGAAGATCCATTACTTGTAGAAAATCCTGATGATAACATTTATGACTCAATGCATCAACAGCATTTACTCTTACCTCAGCTTCATCCAACTAGTAATACACTCCAACTTCTGAAAGTAATGTTTGAAAAATATACACGGCACTGCAGCATCTTTTTTAATGAATACAAAACATGAAAATATATGGCTTTGAGTGCACAGTAGATGCAAAGCTTGTTTCTGAGCAAGGCTCTTGGCTGTTGCATTAGGCAAATTTATGTTGTTCTTGGACAGTAATATGCACAAGTAAGGCAGGTTAACAATTTGCATCAGTGCAATAGAAAACTTTTTAAACATTCCCATTGGCTGATACTGGTGCAAGGAAGACACGAAAATTCTTAATACAGCTTAGAATGGCCTCCGAAAAAACAATTTCAATAACATTCATACCCGTTCCAAACACTACTCAGTACCAGAGAGACTGCTAACAAGTACTCTGCTAATCATTAGTCATCCTGCTTGGCTGCTGCCTCCATCCACCATCAGGTATCGCTACCTGCATATTAATATTCCGACTGACAAGAACGGACAAGAAGTAAAGCACAGTGAAAGTTGAGACAAAAGTGAAGTACGGTGTGTTCTCACTTGAATGAACTATATGACGGCGAGGCCAATTCGTTCCATCAGGGATTTCGTTCTACCCATTGGCTCCCAGGTGATCGCTACCCCCCAGGACAGAGATAAAAAAAGGGGGGGGGCACTGCATCCCCTATAATGTATATCAAGAGGCTGCTGTTTTTATTCTAACCAAGCAGTTTTTATTATTATTATTATTATTATTATTATTATTATTATTATTATTATTATTATTATTATTATTGTTATTTTCTACTACAGACGTGGCCACACATTTACAATGCTAACTAGCATACATACATTTTCTTCTGTCCTCCATAGACAAGGTGAGAGATTTGTTAAACATACAGTTCAGGGATTTATTGAACAATCAACCACAGGTGTTTGTGATGCTTTTAAAATGCTAAGCTAACCTACATACATAAATATATAGATACACAGATTTACATATGCCCTATATAAAGTGTTCGATGTGTCTTTTACATAATACATTTGTCTCTTTTACTCTGACAGGGTGAGATAGCTGATAGAGAAACTAGTGTGCAATTAAGCACTTAACTACTGAAGGTGATTAAGATGCTTTTACAAGCTCAGGTTATATAGTTACATCACATACATACATGGTCAGCCTTGGGTACAAGTCCAATATATTATCAAGTATTTCAGTACTGTACTCATATAGTAGTTAAAGAGTTCAGCATACTTCAGCCCAGGAGGGCAAAAGTCAGTCAATATTGGACATTCTACAATATAATGTTCAAGTGAGTGCATGTTTTCTCTTTCACAAAGTTGACACATTGTGTACTCGACATTTGGGTTTTGAGAAAGCTGCCAGATACGTATATATCCCAGGCGTATTCTGGTCACTATAACATCACATTGCCGAGTTCTTGCTCTGTTAGTCCCATATGTGAATGTCTCCTCACCATATCTATCAAATTATTTAATGCTACAACTTTCAGGTCTTTGTGAATTTGTTAGGTCGGTTAGATTTTCATTAGATATTTGTTTAAGTATTCTCTTTGTCACTGCTAATGAAACACCCATATCAATTTCTAGTACTGGTTTTCTACAGGCTATCTTTGCAAGCATATCAACAGTGTGATGCCTTGAGATGCCAACATGTGATGGTATCCATATGAATTTAATTTCAAATCTGTTTTTTTTAGCAGCTAAAACATTCATTCGAATATCACTGACTATTTTCTGGGTGTTACTACTATGTGCGTTCAATGCCAGGAGTGCACTCTGCGAGTCACAGTATATAAGTCCACTGCCTTTGCCTTTTAAAAATTCAGTGGCAAGATATATTCCTGCCAGTTCGGTTTGAGTTGCACTTGACTAATCATTGACGCGCTTCATTGCTGTATGTACGAGAGAAGATTGTTCAAATATATTACATGCGCATCTGGTACATCGTCCACCTTCTTCTACAGAACCGTCAGTATAGTACTGATACACATCATTACCCATACCCTGAATACTCTCAGTGATGCTTTTCAGTGTTAGCTGTTTTAATAATGCAGAGTGTACATTATCTTTCTTGGGTGCATTTACAAAATCAACTGATAGATTCCAGTTATTCCATGGAGTAATTGGTTGATTAATCATTAATTGAGTTGGGTACATATTTAATATTTTGATGAAGTTGGCTACCTTGTAAAACCAAAATGCATAATCAGATTTCGCTCTTCTTCTATAGACCTCAGGTGAGTGTAGCATATTAGAAAGTTTAGTTTGAAACTTCATGTGTTGCCGAGATCTACTCAATGCCTTCACGCCGAAAACTGTGCTAATAGACAAAATTCTCTCACTTATGGTAGGTAATTTTAACTCTGCTCTCATATTAACTATTCTTGTGGACTTTGGAGCCCCAGGAATGAGACGCATAGCTTCATTTTGCAAGGTATCAGGAGATTTCAGCGCTTTGTTTGTATACAGTGTGAGATGTAGAGCATTGTAGTCAATCACAGAGCGTATAAATGATACATAAATCATTCTAGCAAGTCTCACGTTATTTCCATGATTGACACCAACAAGGACTCGCAAGGGCTTTAATCTCTCTGAGTGAGTCGTTTCAGCATAGGTTTGCAATTCTTCCCATGCTGCACACATTTTCTTAATTGTTGAGGAAGAGACATTCTGTACTCTTGTTTCTGTTCTATAGTCATCCTTATATGGGTTTTCATATGTTGAGTTTTACCACTGACTTTCCTGGGACTCATGGCATGATATATAATAATTACTTTAATGTTCAAAATGCAAAAAAATCACCACAAAAGTGGAATTTCTTATAGGCGCGATCGTCACTAAGCGGGCAGCTGTAGTAAACTGAGGCAGATCGGCCACGTGACCGGGAACCACGCGCTCGGTCGACCTGAACGAGTACCAACAAGTATCGGAAGTCGATGACACCGTCGGATGTCGAGTCGCATTTTTCAATGAAATTTACATCGTAACTCGAAATTATCGTAAGTAGGGGGCAATCGTATGTCGAGGTGCCACTGTATTCCCAGCTCAGCAAGCTGTTCTAGTATGATTTCTCTGTTTGATGTATCAAAAGCTGCTGCTAGGTCGATGAAGACTGCTTAAGGGGAAGCTTCAATATGAGCTTAGTATTCAGCAAAACAGTGTTGTGTACTGAGCCCAGGCATAAATCCAAATAGTTGGGGTGACAGGTGCCACTGCATACGATACATGAGTCAGTTAAGAACAATGCGTTCAATCACTTTACAAACACACGATGTTAGAGATATGGATCTATAGTTATCTGAGTGTGGTTTGGGGATGGGAACAATGACACTCTTTGTCCAAGCATCAGGTAATACTCCTGCACTTAAACTCATTCTGTACAACACTAAAAGTGGATTACCTGGTACGTGTGAGACTAATCTCAGTAGACTGTAAGTAATACCGCCCTCTCCAGGAGCAGTTGATTTGCCCATCTTTAGTGCATGATTTAATTCCCATTCAGTTACATCATTAAGGTTCGACTTGTCGATAGCTGTACAGGCAAGTTTGATGGTCGTTGTCTGGTGGGGCATGTGTCATTAAGTTTGTGCTGTAAGTTAATTGGGAGTGAGTTTAGCTTGATGTTAGTGCCCATTGATCAAGGAGAATGTTTTGCTTGTTCCAGTGGGCTGTGGTGCAGTGGTTTGGTTGGGTTGCTTCTGGAGATTTTTCGTATCTTTCCCCAAACTTCAACAAGGGTTGTTCGCTCATTTATACTTTGTAGGAACTCTTCTCAATGTTTATTACGTATAACGTTGCTCATGTCTCTCGCCTCTCTATTTGCGACAAGAAATGCATGCAAGTCACCTTGTGCTTTAGTTCGATTGTATGTACAGTATCTCCAAGCTGCTTTACTCGTTTATGTTCTTTGTCAAATACGGGGTCTAGGACCCACTTGAGTGGTGGTAGGTGTTGTCCACTTCTGCTAGACTTTTACGGCTTGTTCCCCAATGTGTAACTTAACCAAGCAGTAATCTGTTTTGTTTTGCTGACTTTCTGGGTGCTTTTTCTGGTGGTGGCAGGCATGAATAACTTTAAATGTAAGGTGTTCATAGTGCCATCGCTCACTACGCCTCTCTGAAGGGGGTCAGGTTCTGGCCCCCTCTATGTGATCCTTGGTAGGCCAATAAGAACGCCACGACTGATGGCACCACTTATGGCATTGCTTCAGTGAAATAGCATAAGGGAGGCACCAGGGCTTACCCTGAAATTGATGTTTCATTACATTCACCACTGGTGTTTTTTTTTACCTTGCTTTGCCATTTCTGCACTGCTTGCTCTCTCAATTTT